TGTATATTTAAAAAGCTCACAAACAACCCAAGTGGCTTGTGCTAAGTCCTTAAGTGGTGCTGAAACTCAGAGGGAGGAGAAAACACTGAGGGCTGAGGCAATCAGGGAAGACTTCCTGGAGGTGGAGAAGGAAATTCTAGTCACTCCTTAAAGATGAGTTGTCCTGTCGGCATGTGTACTGCTTTATCCTCTTGACTAGAATTTGTTGAGACCTACATGTCCTGGGCCCTGGCCTGGAAAGATGTAAATATATTTTTTAAAGATTTTATTTATTTATTTGACAGAGAGAGAACACAAGCAGGGGGAGTGGGAGAGGGAGAAGCAGGCTTCCTGCCGAGCAGGGAGCCCAGTGCGGGGCTCGATCCCGGAACTCTGGGACCATGACCTGAGCCGAAGGCAGACGCTTAACGACTGAGCCACCCAGGCGCCCCTGGTGTAAATATTTTTGTTCAATCCTCATATGAATCCAGTGAGGTGGGTATTACTAGCTCTCCTAGTCAGATGAAGAAACTACAGGTCAGAGTAAAAAATCTTTCCCAAGGCTTCTGAACTAATAAATGGCAGAGTTGGGCACTAGGCCTGTCTTCAAAAAAACTAGTCTGTTTCCGCTGCACCGTGGGTCTCAGACCTTCAGCGTTAGCCTCCGTGGTGAGATGCCCCCACATACTGGATTCACCACTAACTCGATCAGCAGACGGATGGGCCTGGCCAACCCAGCTCAGCCTTGCCTGCCCTGCCTGTGTAGTTGAGCACATTTGCATATTTACGTGGTGTCTGATAGCAACTCCGAGCCCTCCCCTCACCCCCCTTCTCTCTGTCCCCACCTTCTTCGACCTCTGACCCTGAGAGCCAGCCCATTCGAGCTCCTTGAACTGTCTTTGAAGCTGGGATTGGGATCCAGAGGCAAAAAAGGGCACTGACCTTGGCCCCAAGTTCATTCTGTCCCCTGGGTGCTGCTGCTGGTGTTGTGGGCGACTTTTGTAAAGAGGTGAGCGCTGGATGTGGAGCTGGGCTGTTAACATTGTTGCTGTTGACTCATTTTGACCTTGGCCAGGTCATCTAGTCCCTCTCTGTGCCTGTTTCCTTCTCTGTAATAAACAGGGAGTTGGAGACCTTTCTAGAGTCCGGCATGTCTTTAACACCAAATAACTTTGTGTTCCTCACCCTTTTTGAAGGCTTTTCTCCCCCAGTGATCCAATTTCCCTTCTTTCCTTTCCTCGCCCCACCCCCGCTTCTCCCTCTGGGTCTGATGGATAAACTCTGATCAAGGCTGATCATCGGGTTTGCAGGCTAAAACTGTAACCAACCCTAGCCTTCCCTCCAAGTTGACAGGTGGGAAGGGAACGCTTAGAGACCCGCTCCCCCAGACTGTGAGCTCTGACCTGGCAGGCTGGTTCCATTTGCCTCTGTGCCCCTACTCCCCAGCACGCAGGAGGTGCCTGGCAGAGGTGGGTGAGGTGAGCCGGGAGCTGGGGGACCTGTCCCTATGGTTGTGCACAGGGCACCAGCCCAGAGGCTGTGGGATGGAGGGACAAGTGTCTGTCCCCTGCAGCTGGCCACGCTCCGGCTCCTCCCCACTGCTCTGCCTGTTAAGTGTGTCACAGGCAGCACACACCTGAGTCCTCACACCTGCCTGGCCGCTGTTTCAAGCCCTTGCCCTGAGTCTGGTGAGGTCACACGTGTGGACCCACCCAGGAAACTGGTTAGGCTAGGCTGCCCACCCCTCTGATGGGCAGATCAGCTGCTCACGGCCTGGTCCCTGGGACTCTCCAGAGGAAGTGAGTGGCCTGGCGCCCTCCCTGCAGGCTTCCTGCAGCCTGGGTCCCACCCCACGGGAGGATGGCCTTGGGGGCGAGTCCCCGGCCTGGGGGCGGGCACTTCATGGTCCTGTGTCTTCCCCAGGCACGGGCCCCCTTGTGAGCAGCAGACCGGCCTGGTGGCTGGCAGCAGGACCCCCTCGCCTGCATGCTGAAGAAGATGGGTGAGGCCGTGGCCAGAGTTGCAAGAAAGGTCAACGAGACTGTGGAGAGCGGCTCTGATACCCTGGGTGAGTGAGGCCAGGGCCTTTCCAACTGCAGGGCGCCCCACAGGCAGCGTGTGAAATCAGTTTAGATGTGGAATTGAAAGAGAAGAGCAAAGAGACAGTATCAGCACTCTCGTCCCGAGGAGAAGCGCTCCATGGAGTTTTATTGCACTTGTGCTTGGTGTGTGCGCACCAGGGAACCTTTCTTCTTTTTTTTTTTTTTTTAAAGATTTTATTTATTTATTTGAGACAGAGAGAATGAGAGAGAGAGAGAGCACATGAGAGGGGAGGTCAGAGGGAGAAGCAGGCTCCCCGCTGAGCAGGGAGCCCGATGCGGGACTCGATCCCAGGA